GCTTTGTAGGCTAGAGCCAGGTTGGAATACACATGGTCTAAAGTCTTGTCTCCTCTGGTGTGGCAGGAGACATGTTGGTGGAATTTGGGGAGGACTGTCTTTAAGTTGGTGTAGTTGAAGTCGCCAGCAACAATAAAAGCAGCCTCGGGGTGTTTATTCTGGTGTTTGTTAATGGCTGCAGAAAGTTCTTTCATGGCCAACCTAGCATTAGCGTCAGGGGGGATATACACTGCAGTGAGTATGATAGAACGTCTGCATTTGACCATTAAAAACTCAACTCGCATTAGGTGAGCAGTGACTCTCAGTAGTAGTGGAGTTCATGCACCAACCATTGTTAATATAAATGCACAAACCTCCACCTCTGGTCTTGCCGGAGTCATCTGCTAGCCTGACAGCTTGGTGTGTGTAGCGTCCTGCTAACTCGATAGCATTGTCCGTGCAGCTGTTGTTCCACCATGTTTCGGTGAAAAACATGACATTTGAGTCCATAATCCGTCTGTTGTTAGTGATGGACAGCCGTATCTCATCCATTTTGTTTGCCAGAGAACAGACATTGGCGAGGAAAATACTGGGTAAAGGCAGCCGGTGTGGTGTTAGCTTTAGCTTAGCCTTTAGCCCTCCGCGCCTACCTCGCCTTTCTTTACGTTCTCGGCGCCGTCTGCGTGCACTTCCGCCTGGCCGGGGAGAGTGGGCAGCCTCCGGTGTTCTGGAGATCTCTGGGATGACTCGGAGATCGGCGATAAAACTGTTGGAGTTATGAGTCCAGATGTCCAGAAGCTCTTGTCTGCTGTAGGTCAGCAACGCACAGCAATTCTGGATGAATAATAAAAAACCGCTAAATAGCAGATTCTGGAGAGACACTGAGCTTCGTGTTGTTCACGCGCCGCCATCTTGGTCCTTGGTCAAGACAAGAAAGCTCCTTACCCGCTGTGGGTTTCAACGCAAATCCAGTGCTCTAAGACTTTACACTAAATAGAACGAAGGTGTCCGCAGAGTATCAGAAAATTTTTCAAATGAAAAATCTGACACTAGAATTATTGCAGTGGCCAACTAACCCCTTAAACTGTCAAAAGACTACACGAAACAAAAGGTGGATGAATTTTTTCTTGGTTAAGACAAACTTCATCACAACAACTTGCCAGGTCAAGAACACTATTGAGATAGATGTATCATTGTCCATCTATGGACACCAATCTAAAAAAGCCTGCTGTGTCCTGGAAAACATTTTTTAGCTTGATGAAACCAAGATAACCTTGTATGGCTGCAAATAAAACAGGATCACTGTGGTTTTTTGTGACAACAGATAAAAATAGCAAAAACTAACAAAAATTAATGCAAATGTGAACGTCATTAGCTTCCTGCTCAGAAGACCAGGGTTCTACAGCTGGCATTTTCTTGTGACCACCTTTAACCAGCAATAAACCCTTACTAAGACAACACTAAGACAAACTAAGACAACAAACACATACAGTTACCCAGAACACAATCTCTGAAACCTGCTGGAAAAACGGTCGCCCCATTTAAATCAACAATAGTGGGACTCACTAAGTCGAGAATCTAAAATAAGAAGCTAGAACTAACTTACATGTGTTGACAACATACAAAACCCCTCTCTCTGGAGAATTAACTTTTACTTGATGCTTCCAAAAAGCATTCAAAGCTATGAACGAGCCCACATTTGTTACAAAGTTGGCTCAAAATTGACAACAAACAACAGAGACTGTACAGACAAAGCTTAGCTTGCTCATTTAGTTTATTTAACAAAGAAATCATGAACTATCACATGGGTAATGGTAGATATCAGTGGAAAAATGTCCCGAACAGATGATTGTAAAGATATGTGCAACATGTTGTAAGAAGTTGCCTGTAAAAACAGACTCGCCCTCAGGTGACCCTTGAAGAACAGGTGAAGACTTGCAATGTAATGTACTCCCACCTATAGTGCGGTGTAGCACTTTTCTAGTCTTACTGACCACTCGCAGTAATTTAGACTACAAGTCACATTTGTGTGTGATAGAAAACGATGAACAGACCGCATTAGAATTCTTTCAAATGTTAGAAAATATTTTGTTTTCATCTGGTACCTACTTCTTATGTGCCAGGAGCAGTTCCTTGTGGAGTGCATCGTGAGCCCTGGAAGCCTTCATGGGTTTTGAATGCTCTACACAGGCGCCAGATTTGACTCCATTATCTGACACAGAAATGATAATTAAAAAAACAAAACAAAAGAAAAAATGTCAAAGGAGTAGCTCAAAGGAATGACAGATGAAAATACCTAAACTCGCTCTGCACACGCAAACAGAGTAAAAGCATTCTAGTGTTACTGTCCATTTCACTTACTGTTACCCAAGTGGCTGTGTCTGCAGTATGTTTACAGTTTATTAAT